GTTATAGATGAAACATGATTAAATTACATGCTACTGGATGTTCAAATTGTTATCAATCATGACACAAAACATACAACGACTTTTCTCTGCATTTTTAATAAAATATCTCACACATATACACCTACTTATTAATTATATGTGAAAATTATATTTGAAATAATCTCAGCGATTGAAATTTAAATAATTCCAACGTTTCGTCTAGCTAACTTGTCTGGACTTCTTCAGGGTAATAATCAAAATCATCAAAGAAATATATAGCTATTTAACAATCATAACTAGAATGTGTTACACTAATCAAATTTGGTTGTTGATTTTTGTAAAATAGGATAATATGAGTCAGTTAACTATAATTCACGTGAAAAACTCAACTACATGGAAATAATTAACTGAATAACAAATTGTATATACTCGGCGCTCAATTTCTGTCGAACTATTTGTTCTAATCTTGATGAATATTCGTATAAACTACTTACTAATGTTTATTTCATTATCAACTGTTCAAAAAATGTTAGATTTGTTCCAATCACAAATGTTAGATGGTAAAATTAACATAAATAGAACCTAAAACTATTAAAAAATACATTGATTTTTTTTAATGATATGTGGTGAATTCTGAGATGCTTTTATTGTAAAGGATTATTGTAGGATAGTAAACTTTGTGGATGGGATGGTAAAATGGTATTTTACTTCATCTGTTATAGAGATTGTTAAGTTCAATGATTTACATCACTGACTGACCACGAATCAGTTGAAGTTATAGATGTAAATAATCGAGAGCAGGCTCAGTGGTCTAAAGATTAAGCACTCACCACGAAACCTGTGTCTATGGGTTCGATGCTCGATGGGTACAGTTCTACGGTAGGGCAAGATATTTTATCTAGCGCTTCCAACATTTCAAATGTTGTCTTATCAAGAATAGTTCACGGTCGAACCTATCAAATGGTATTATTGCTTATTATTCACAATAAACATATGACATATCGCTAAAGATCTCTTCTAATCTGTTAAAATTCTATCGCATATAGGTATATCAATTAGTTATATCCGTGTTTGGTACTACTTCACCCCACTCATCCTATCGAGTTCCCATGGAACTTATTGAAGACATCATAAGGAATTAATTCCACGATACAATGTGAGCAGAGAATAGTAATGATAACGAAAGTTTGTAAAACGATATTATTTACGGTAAGTCTTAACAATACAAAACTATAATTCCTACTGGATATACAAAAGAAGAGATTGGATATAAAACAATAAATTAACAATGGATTGACTTTTAAAGAATTCTACAAGAATATTAATTCTGTTTTCAATCTCTTAATAACAAGAATAATACTATGTTGCATTTGAACCTATAAAAATATTATCCATAGTTACATATTATTTTTTCTTGAAATATCCAGTATTATAAATGAAACTGTCAAGGAAACAGAGAAACCTCCTCAATAAATTACTCTGTTCTTCTAGTCAATTAATTTCTTTTTTAAAGTTTAACAGATGTTTTTTCGTTTATTTTTAAGTTATTCACCAACATATTACTTTTTTATTTCTTTTAAATATAAATTCCATAAGTAAAGTGTTAAATACTAGGAGACACTCAATTCTACATAAACAATCATAAATATTTTTTTTCATTAGAAACCAGTGATTATCCTTCATTTCAGCAACAAAAAACCCATTCGAAGTCAAATTCTGCATTTTTTTGTTTGTTTTCATAAACATGAAATTTATTTCATCACTCTAGTTCTATCTAATTCAAGACTGTAACATACTTATCATTTTTGGCTAACAAGATCAAATTACCAACAACAACAACAACAACAACAAAAAGACAAGAGGATACAGAAACTTCGTGCAAAAACAAAATTATTATTATTATTATTAAAACTAAAAAAATAACGGAAATCAATATAAAACGATTTATTTCATTAATATTCCAATAAATGTCGAGTGACTTGAATAATAATTTAAAATGGGAAATGAAATTCCCTTGATAATTAATACTTATATGAATTGCTTCATTGATTTTCTTTTTAATCTAAGATATAAAATTTTCGTAGTTGAATTCGTGAGTCGGTCTCGGGAATGAACTCACGAGACTGAAGATTCTGGATTCGAGCCCTGCATGTGAGATCGTGGATATACACTGTTGAAGAGTCGCATACTAAGACGAAATGGCTGTCTAATGCTTCCAGGTTTTCAATGATCGTCTAGTATAAATTGACTATTATATATATATATATATATATATATATATATATATATATATATATATATATATATATATATATATATATATATAAATTGACTATTAAAATTACTATTATCTCTACAAACACCCAATTCTAATTAGATATATAAATTAAATTTCTAAAAGTAACACTGTGATGTAATAGATAAATTATTTTGTAGTAAATTTGTCTATGATAAACTTTATCCATTCTGATAAGGTTTAAAAATATCTACACTATGGTTATTCTTATCTAAATACCAGTGATTACAGATGATTAAATAATAATAATAATGATAAATTTACGAAGATGAACTTTTGCTATGGATTTATATCTATCGGAATAATACGGAAAACGAGGAAGCAATGGACAGATGTCCTGTATTAGTCAAACATTCCTCACCATTCTATATTCGTTATTGATGTACAAATAAATTGAACCGTAATTATTTACTCACTAGTGTGACTAGTATCGAAATAGATTTCGGTTATTTCAATGAAAAGGTGTGACTGGTTTAATTCATCTAAGTCGATAGTGAGTAGGTTAATACTAGTGGTACTGGATAATTGTCGCGCATACACTGGTAGCCGATTGAAATCAAAAATTTGTAACACTTAATTCTGGCTCAATATGCTTAAAGTTAACGTGTCCAATATCAGACGATAGTGTCCTTGATGACATCCCTGTTGGTATTGTGACTTCACAGGAGGCTTATTCGTTACCAAGTACGAAGTAATAAATAATTATCAACTAGTCTTAATACTATGCATTTACTTAATACATTTTTTCATTCGAGATTTTTGCATTTGATCAGCATTTCACTAAACAACCACAATGGAGTGTATTCTAGTTTAATTGTTTAGGTAAAAATTATTTTCTTTAATTTTAATTATCGGCGAATTTCACTTTTAAGAAAAAAATGTGCATCATGTAGTTCCATCAATTAGGGATTAAACACAAAACATTAATATTGAATTACGTAGTAAGCGAACTTAACTCTGCAAAAACTAACTGGAACCATTATAATGAATCGTGTCATCTGAAAATAACAAAGTTCTTAAAGATAAAATAGTTCAGGGTCCCATTATACCCGTACGATGACTGTAGTGTCTAGTCTGTGTCAAACAAAAATGGGTTATTCTAGCCTACAAACAGATCAGTTTATTCATTTTCGAGTGACATTTTGACCTTGTCAGTTATTAGCTTCCTAACCTTGACTGTTTTTATGTGAGTTTCTATATGTATCCATCGCTTACCCTATTCATCAAATGTCTTTGGCTTATTTTTGTCTAACTAGAAATATTAAGCCACCCGATAAAATGGAGTTGTCACATATGCCTTCTTCACTTCGCTTTACTTTCCCGCTTTTTGTTCTGAATGCCTGTCTGGATAAGTGAGTACTTGAAATAAATTCGTTTAACAGAATCCGTATTTGTCTTCTCACCAACGTCACACAGATGGGGTTGGCCTACGTAATATACAGAATTAAATGAAATTAAGTGTCACTTTTAGCCAACTACATATCACAATTAACGGATTCATGCGTAAAATATGTTAGAAACTTCATAAACTTAGAGCCAAACAACTTAAACATACAGAGTGTGTCTAATAAATAAGGAAGCTGAGCTACTAAGTATATCAGACGAAAATAAAGAAAGCTTCTCACGAATATCATGAAATGCTGAGGTCTGCCTATGGAGATAATACAAAAAATAAGACTTTCAAGTAGAATAACCTATTCTATGCAGTCTATGAGGTTTGCCCTAGGCCAAAATGACGGTTGTTCTTTTGCATTAGGGAAAATATCGGATATGTACGGTCTGTCAAATACTTTTAACTGTGTGAATAACTGTTTATGAACTGAATTTCGATGTTAACTGTGAACGCGACTCTAGCAAAATATCCAGCGACAACGTATCCGAATTGCCTAATGTCTGAGGATTTTCAAGAATTTTTTGAGTAAAATGAATGTAGATGGGACGTGTATTTCTACAATTGAGACTCACTTAAAAGAAAATCCTATAAACTTGTTAAAGTTCTTATGATCACATTTCGAGTACTTGTCGGACAAAATGGAGGCACGCCCAGCTAGATGTAATCAACCAGTAACTTACTCCTGTTGCTCCTCATGGAGGCGCATAGGCCGCCCACCAGTATTCTCCATCCAACTCTTCCCTGGGCAAGTTGGTACATGCATCTCAATGAATGACTTTTACATAAAACTGGAGAAACAAGGACATTTAAATATTTGTTTCCGATTTGAGATATGTTTTAATTCAAGGAACATTTACTATTTGACCACATACTTATTCATTACCAGTCGAAATTACAAAGACAACTTTCAATTTTCGTGAAAATATCCACGAGCCATTGTCCTACGATCTTAATGTTCCTGTTTAAAATTTACTCAGCTATTTCTATCAAACTTTCAATGATACTATAACCCCTGTCCCAATTCTTGAACTATTAGCTATGTTGCGATTTCAGTGTACTATCAAAAAAATTAGTACTATTAAAACATACCAAAATTAATCGAAAGTACTAAATCTGTGTTAAAAGAAGATAAGTGCAATAAGTTACCAACACAATATTCTCATCTAAGCCTTAAAAATCCAGTAACTGGAGTTAAATGAAAAGTACTGTCTGTTTATTGTTGAACCTCTTTAACATTTAGTTCTAAATTTGTTCGAACCACACATTGTACGTTTATTTACATTCCTCATATTCAGGTAGTGTCTTTGTATAAATTCAAAAGAGCTTGTTTTTCATCAAACGATTATAGTAGAAAAGTTCACTGATGCATTTAATAGTGTAGATGAGTAACTCAAACAGGTCTTAACAAAATAAACGAATTACTTGACGAAGTGATACTCGATCACATGGCTTGATTAATGGTCGTATAGAATAAGGTTATAGCAATTCGCTAGGTTAATCCTTAACTAGCTTATCAATGATTTGTGGTCAGCCAATCATCATCAGTATGGAACCTGGTATAAATGTGTTTTGGCTCAAGTTACCGAACCATACAACAAGGCTGAAATGTGATCAACAAGATGAACATTAAGGAGTCGGAATAAGTTAGTAGTAATGATAGTGAGGACTATACATTAAAAATATGGTTCAAAAAGACAGAATGATGAAACATTGAGGTATACCGGAAATGAAGACCTACAGAAACAGAGACTAAATGCATCTGTTTCGTTGTAACCGATTGTAGGCCTTATCAATACTGATCGCGACTATTTCACGGAACCCACGAGATAGTCTGCATTTAGCAATATGGTTAGATCAACAGTCAATAGCTTTGTGAACTGGCGCTAAATTATGGTCTGATCACCACTAGGTTTCTTCTAAGTAACTCTTACAACAGTCAAGATTGTTCGTCGACGTTTACTCAACCTATCCACCAGACGCGAGGTATCCTTAAAATATATCTATGACCAAAAACCTATACCCTAGGCAGCCATTGTACTTTGAATGACTGTTTCACAGCCATAGAATAAGATAAGTCTTGTCTACGCCAGAACCAACACAAACGACAAAGATCAATTGTGTTTTCTGAATATATGCCGAGATCTCGTCAGAAATCAACCCACCAGGGCTGATGAAACTAGCATGATCGAGATTGGTTTATTGTTTTTAAAATAACCCATTTAGACGAAAAAACCAAAACAATCAATACTGTTTTTTTTAAATGCTGGTGATACTGAATGATAAAAAATAAGAATTGTAAAGTATAATAAACGAACACTCCAGCAAACACACAGATCTACCGGTTATGACAGTACCAGCGTTACATCGTAAACCAAATTTTAGAGTTAATAACAGGCACATAATTATTATTAACAGTAGCGTGAACAACTGTAGTTCATCTAAACAATAAGTTATTTGACAAATATTTTCTTTTAAACAAAAGTATATTATTTATAAGATTATAACAACAATGTATACAAGCATGAAATGATGAAAGAATGAAGCTTCGAACCAACATACACAAAACTTCATTTAATGAAAATGAATTACTGATTCAGATGAGAAAATAAGATTGACCAATTTACAGACTTTATATAAATTGCTTGTATTCGCCGAAAACGGAATGGAGTTAATTCTTCGTCTTCTATTTTTCATATACATTAATGTCCTCTTTCATATATTGAAAGTAAATTAAAGTTAACCACATTTACACGTTTACGCCTATTCATGGATAAGAAATCCACTTGTGAGCCAAGAATATATAGATGGATAGAATAGTACATGATTGAAAAAATTCTATTTAGAAAGAGACTGCAACAATAAAATTGTAACTGGTAGAAAGAAAATGATTTTTTGGGGGGGAAAAGAAACGAAAAAAAACTATAGCAAATAAAGTACAAGTTAGTTAAACTGGACGAACTTTGTTTACATTTAACGGTCGAGGTATTCCACTTTTCGTTTTATCTAAATACAGAGGGAAGTGACACAGAGAAGATTAAAGCAGATAACAATGTCGATTTGATTGAAAATAAGTTGTCCAATGATAAACAATCGAATCGTAGTCTACAACAAAACTATTACTTGTAAAATAACTGTGATTCTATAAATATATTTACAAATATTAACCTCTAAAAAGAAGTGAACTAGTTACTGTAAAAAAAGATAACTAAACTGAGTTCGAATCGCGCGTGAGGGATCGTGAATGCGCACTACTGATGAGTCCTATGCTAGGACGAGACAGCCGTCCAGTGCTTCTACATTTTCAAAAGTATCCTGACATCGATTGATCCATGATTTCAATCAGAAATATATATTTATGTCAATAAATATTATGAATCAAATACCTTTCAAATTGCATATTCTACCATTTGAAACAAAGATATAACTGGTCTCTGTGTAAATACAGTCCTTTATACCTACTGTTTCAATTATTTTGGATCGGATTTAGAGCCTACATCACGAGTGATTCACTTCAAAATAACAATCGTTTAAGTATTAGTAAACATAAAGATTTAAAATAAATTGTCTTGTTTACGAAATACAAATATTTGTGTAGTTAGCTTAGAATTATACGTTTTATGTGGAGACCGATGATACTATCAAGCTGCCCAAATCAAAGTTAACAAGAATTTTCATCTAAATTTGTGATTACTGGCTTTTTCTCACTTCAAATCTGCGTACAATTACATAAACTTGTGATCTGAAGACAGATTATCCATGTTTCACACCAAATGACTAACATCCATCTTTGCAAATATAACTTCCTTTTTAATGTCAAAGTTTAATAAGTAGAGTAAATAGGCTTACTTTTCATCAGTGAACACGAACGATATCATAATAGACTAAGCTCAAGACCTTGCCAAGTTATATTTTGACAACAAAGTTGAAAATTGTATGATTAGCATCTCCAAATGTAGTCAATCTGTGATACACTTCCCCCATTATCTAACGATATTTATTGATAACTATCAACACTAATCACGACTTCCCATAAAAAACTACAGGAATTCAACTTAAACTTTCAGTAACTCAGCTTGCAATCAAAATTATGCCTCAAATCGCTAACTAAAAAAGATGTTAAAACCTGAAAAACTACTCACTAGCTTCTGAGGTACTGGTATTTTTTGTGGAATGGCCATTATATTTCTGTTGTTGACTTTGTAAACTTCTTGGATTCTCTGTACATTGAGGCATTTGAATAGTACTATTGGATGAACCTAATAAATGAGCTTTCCAAACATCTTCTGGACCACCAGGAGCAACTGAATCTGGTAAATTTGGTAAATCATGATGACAAAGTGGACAACGTAGTCCAGAAGATAATTTGATAGGTAAACAATGATGATTGCTTAAATGTGTTTTTAATACAGCTTCTGAACATTTAGAACAGCGAACATACTGTCCTGGTGTACAAGCTTCACATTCTTTAAGTAAATGATCCGTTAAACCAGCTATTTCAACTACCTATAAATATGTAACAAGTTGAACGGGTTGATATTACTGGTACACATGATCAGCTAACTAGGTAAATATATTTAATCAGTAGTTTAAATTGAAATATTCTTATTCCCAAACCTGAAGACGTATTTTGGTTTGCACGTATAATATATTTAGACAACATTAAAATATTAATAGCATAGGATGATCTAAATAATAAGTTTAGTGACAACATAAATAATTCGTATTGCTATAACAAATAGCCTATTTACATAACCCATCGGTCATCAGGTAGCGGTTTATTGTTGCTACCGCCTAAGAAAACTTAGAACGGTTTGTATATCACATCGGTAGAAAATACAATACATAAGTCAACTGATATTTATGTTATAAATGAAAAACTAGTATTTCATCACTTCTAAAATTATGACAGTAAATTAATAACTTGTCTAACTTATATGGGATACAGTGAGTAGAAGTTCAGTTTCACTGATTACTTTGTAGATTCCATTTTATCACCCATTATCTGAGAAATGATACTATTATGCTTAAGTGGTTCCTGTATATAATTATCAGTTTTAATTTCATAATAGCTCCGTCTGTAGCTCTCTTCTAGGGTTACTCTAAGTCCCAAGTTAGGGTAAAAGAAGAGGGTTGAGCATAGGGTTAGCAACCCGATCTCGTAGAAAACAACCTGGTTAAAAAGAAGCTAACCAGATTAAACAATTTAAACCAATTAAACTGTGCCCTCAGAGTTGAAGAATCTCCATTCAGAAGAACTATGACACCTCATGGTAGAAACCGAGATTCTTCGGAAGTCATGAGACCTATGCCTCTTCTAACAACGACAACAACAATTAACAGAGGTACATGGAATGTTCGAACAATGTGAGAAACCGGAAGGGCCAATCAAATAGGTACGGGAATAAGGAGATACAAATTGGAGGTGCTCAGAATAAGTGAAACACATTAGACCCAAGCCGTACTCTGATCAAAACGAAGAAAATGCTTCACACACAGAGAGAGTTGCTCTGATGCTGTCCAAAGAAATCTCATGAATCCAGGATCATTCAAGCATTCCTCAAAACAATGAAGGAGGGAATCATAATGGATGTTATCCAGTGTTATGCACCTACCAATCATAGCGATGACAATAATAAAGATCGGTTTTACAAGAGGCTGTAATGGATCATAGTGAATTGCTCAGGAAACGATCTGACTGTCCTGATGAATAGGCTATACGCTGAGGTCGGAATGAACAAAACCGGGTAAGAAAATACCATGGGACGACATGGACCGGGAGAAAGGGACGAAAATGGAGAGAGATTCGTAAAAAAATCTAATTTCTTAATCTATAAACTATCAGGTAAACAGTATTTTTGTCTTCTGACAAGAAAAGTTTCATTCATTTAGGAGTTTATCACTCCAATAATCCTGTCTATTCTAATAGTTACATCGGTTCGATAAGATATTATAACAAGGTGGATCAAATCAGTGTGAGTAAACGTCATTTTTTGATATTTTTTAACTAGTTGGTGATTGGTAATATTTGGTTATCTGGCTGGATGGTTTAATTGTGGAGCTTTGATTGTTCAGGCCATTATCATCACTGGTTACTCCACAATCATGAAGTTGGTCTGATCTGACGAGCTTATTGCTTATTGGTTTCTTGAAATAAGAATTTACAAAAAACTGCGACTGACTGATCACCGAGTAGTGACTAGCACTATATTTGTCCGGTTTTTTAGTGGCAATCGGATTCTATGAACCAATTTGCAATATTTCTACTAGTTTAAGTGACTCGACGTTGCGTGCGATATGTTGAAATATCAGGTGGTTTGAGGTAATCGATAGGAAATCCTGAACCTAGGTTTTGTGCCTCTTGGCACTTGTAAGTTGTATCTGGAATTTTAAGGGAACTTATGCTCCCTAGTGGATGTGATCCCATGTCTCCCAGGTCTATTCTCAACAGCAGAAATGAGAATATTTCCGAATACTCATCGGCTACAAATCAAACATCAAATAATAAAAGTGAGCACATTCAGTACAAGACGATGTGAAATCATTTGATGGCAAACAGATTTTTTAAAAGAAAACGTTAAAAACTAGTGACAAGATAGATTTTGAACATATTTCTGTGTATGAATAATAATGGTTTCAATTTCGTATGCCGGGTTTTACATCAAAGTTTTGAATGATTATCCAAAAGATACCAACTGACCTGAATTGGTGAGATATTATGTAATCGAACTCGATATATCATTTCATTAAATTTTGCTTAGACAGGGTATACAGTTTTCATGAGCTCATTTCGAAAGAGAGAACACGAAGAGCAGTATTCATCACATTCCCTAGAGGCTGGTTAACATGAAACTCGTCGTTTATCATAAGTAAACTAATATCTTCTGAAGATCCCATAAAGTAAATAGACATAAATAGTTCAAGAGAGGATTTTATTGCTACACCATCTAATTACTTAGTCTAAAGTTAAAATTATATCTAAAAAAGCTATTTTGGTTAGTGAATTAGTGTACCAATACTCAGATTACCTGAGTAAAATACTTCTGTAAACATGCAATATATAAAACAAAGACAAATGTGACAACATGCCTGTTTACAATTAGGACAACGATGAAGCATTGGACAACTTTTCCAATAATGTATATCTAATCCTTCCTCTGTAAACGAATCATTTTGTTCTCCACAAAATATACATGTCTTGTCTAAACTAAGTAAAAATTCTGCTTCTTCAGTATGTTGTTGTGAATTTATTTCCAATTGAATGTTAGCAGTTGAAGAATTTCTGTTTGGATTGTCACTTTTTGTAATTCGTGAACCATGTTGATTAGACGTATGATTCTGAAGATTCGGTGATGCAGATGGAGGCCCGTGTTGTGAGTTATTTGCAGATTTACGATCATTATTCTTTAATCTTGAAGCAGATTTTCTATCATAATTTTGCGAAGGTACAGTACGTGATACACGTGAATTAGGCTTGTGGGTAGTCAAATGACCACGATTCCCATGTTCGACTATAGCACGGAGTTGTTGAACGTCTGCCTAAAGCCAAACAATGCAATATAGTTAATTATAAAAACCTCACAAGAAGTCTGATGTAATAGAAATGTCTGGTAGCACAAGAACTTTCAAAACACATCCGTTTGTTAAAGCTGGTTGAACTGAGAGAATATCGCAACACTATAAGAAAGCTAAATATCTGAGTCAGGGTAATTCGCTGCGTTCGATAGCGCGTATGAGTTTTCTCAGAGTCTACTAAAAGTTTATCTAATGCATTTCATAGTCTTTAATCTGTATATCAGTATTCATTTCTCAAAATCATATGAACGTAGTACGCTTCACGTTGTTCGAGAATGGGAGAATTTCGCCAAAAGGCAGGCTTCCACTCAAGAACAATTGCATATTCTCCACGAGTGTCTTCGTCAGCATGTTCTGCCAACAAGTGTAAGATTCAATTACTATATTTGCACCACATTCACACAGCCTTTTTTAGACAAATTAATGGACGTTTCATTTTAACAATCTTGTTTATACTGTGCTAAAATATGTGGTCCATCCTCAATGCGTTAAACTATGCATAAACACTAAAGTATTGCTTGAACAATTATGAATAAGAGATTAAACTACTTAAAAATTACAAGTAGGAACACGTGTGTACTTAAAATAATCGCGACAATGTATGGAGTTCACATTGGGTTCGTGATTGAGAGTTGGTATGAGATATTATTCTTCGAGGCATTGAGAAACAAAGAAGCCCAAAACATGCTCCATTCACAGAGAAATAGTTTTTATCAAATTGAAACACATCATGTAAAGACACAATGAATATTCGATCATTAAGCACGGGAACTATATTTAGGGCGTGATAATTCAGAGTTGATCTCAGACATAACTCAAATGCCTTCCGTCCATGAATATATATAAACAACCAGATTCAGAAAGCTATGATAAACAGGAAATAACAATTATCATGAAGAACGTAGATATGAAGAAATTAGTTTTTTTCGAAATGTTGATACCTGAAGTGCTTCAACTTCTTTTTGTTTGACTGAAGCTTTAATCGCAGGTGGTCGATCATTCAATGGTGGATCATATCTTCCGTCAATCCGATCAAATTTTCCAAGTAGTCTTCTATATAAAGGATGTCGATTGGAATTCACATCATCTAAAGGTATAAGCCTACGAACAGTAGCTCGATCTTCAGAACGATAAAGAGCAACTATGAGATTTTCAGCAGCTTCACGAACCTTTAAAAAAGATTACAAATCAAAAGTAGGGTATTTTAGCTATCAAAAACATCTTTTTAAAATGTTTCTTTTTGTGAAGATTTACTGATAAGGATAAAATGAATCGTTCTTATGTTTACTGCTATTCGACGGTAAACATAAAGCAACAACTTTTGTGCAAAATTAAGCTTCATTGCTCCTAACAGCATAAAAATATGCAAATACAGGAAAAAGTAAAACTTAGAAAATGTAAACACTAGGTTTGCAGCAACATAATGTTTCTGATAGCATACAATCTTTGCTAAAATAGAATACGATAAAATTTAACCGGCAATACAATAAATATTTAGCAGTAACTCACTTCGTTTGATCGATGGTCTAAGCATTTTGCAGTGAATATAGTTAGTGCCTCTAAAGTAAAACTTCCCTGATTGACATGTCCATGCTCATTACAAAAAACAGGATCTACACCACGACTGGCATATAATTCTGTCGCTAGTTCAATTCGACTTAAAGCTAAACGATCTAATGTTACAGGAGAAAAGGGTCGAACTAATTCATTCCAAAATGTTGTATTTTGCTTCATCTACAATGATAGAAATAAAATACTTAGTTGAACTTAATGTCTCCGCAAGATAAAAACTCTACAATTTTGTCAATAAATAAATAAATTATTATTATCTACAAATAATCAAACATTTAACATTTTGCTTATTAAAAAAGGTTTGGAAAGATTGTTTAATTTGAAATTAGTTTACATTACCAATTAATATCTTCTGAGTCAAAGCAAGCATTCCACAGTTATCTCATGTGCTTCACAACTAATCATTTTCTTATTAGCGACCAACTAAGAAATGATTTCCTGTATTTCTAGTGATATGGTTTGACAAATGAACGTTAATCATGTTAGGATTCCGACCATTATCTTTAATGGTGTCGGATGGTCAACATACTATAATGTTGGTTGAATTTGAAAATGTGGATCGTTGTACTACAATTCAATAAACCAAAATTATCATACTAGGAAACCTAAAAGGTTCAACGTTAGATCCCTAGAGGGATAATGGTGTGTACATTGTTCGCTGGGTTTTCAATGACTATTTTGTCGATATCACTCCGTAATGAAAGCTTAGCTCAAATATTTTGGTAAACAGTTTCTTAACAAGTAATAACATTTTAAAATTTTTATATACGACTAAGGCAGATAATTTCTATGATAAGTATACATTGTTGATACGATAATTACACTGAATACTATGAAAAATTTTGCTGCATATGAAACTAAAAAGCTGTTATAAAGTAATCTCTTTAATAAGAAATTAATAATAATAATAATAATATAGAATGAATAACCTGTGGCCATTGTGCCATATCTAAAATTTGTTGTTTAGCTATCTCCCTAACACGTGATGAAGTATCACCAGTTCGTTGAAAAATTACTGGAGTTAATTTATCCATGCAATAATATAAATCAGGTCGTGGAATACCATATCTATCAGCAAAACTGACAATTGTTGGTTTGACGAATTTTGTGGCTAAACGAAATATTGACAAAACCTGGAGAGAGGAAAAGAAAGAATATGAGAAAAAATGTATCATATATAATTGACTGTTTGGATACATGTATAAATGAATGTATTAAAAATATTCTAATTTTTGGAGGTGAATTAATATCTAAACGCAATCATATTTACAGAACTTTAAAAGAAAAAATTTGTATTCCTACTTGATCATTTAATGCACGACGTAAAAGAAATGTAGTTGATCGAATTTCAGCTTTTGGATCAGGATGTGCTGTATCAGGAAGTGATACAGGAGGAGGAAGTTTCGGTGCAGTTACACGCTGTTCTAATTCAAGTAGAGCTTTTTCACGAAAAACCCATGATTTGCTATATGCTTTTGTAACCTGTAAAGAAACAATGTAAATGTATTCAGAACAACTTCGTATTATGTAGTCACCTTAAATAAATTGAGTTATATATATATATATCAACTTAAATTTACTCCTGTTACTCCTCGTGAAGGAGCATAGACCGCTCACCAGCATTCCCCATCCAACCCTGTCCTAGGCAATCCTTTCCAGCTCCTTCCAGTTGTTATTCATCCTTTTCATATCTACTTCTATTTCCCAACGCAATGTGTTCTTTGACCTTCCTCTTTTCCGCTTTCCTTCAGGATTCCAAGTTAGGGCTTGTCTCGTGATACAGTTTGATAATTTCCGTAATGCATGTTTTATCCATTTCCATCGTCTTTTCCTAATTTCTTCTTCAGTTGGAAGCTGATTTGTTCTCTCCCACAGAAGGCTGTTACTGATGGTATCTGGCCAATGCATGTTGAATATCTTGCGTAGACAACTATTTATAAATACTTGCACCTTCTTGATAATAGTTGTAGTAGTTCTCTAAGTTTCAGCTCCGTACAGTAGAACTGCCTTGACGTTCGTATTGAAGATTCTCACTTTGATATTGTTTGAAAGTTGTTTTGAGTTCCATATGTTCTTCTACTATAGGAATGCGGCCCTTGCTTTGCCAATCCTCGCCTTTATTTCTGCATCTGATCCTCCTTGTTCATCGATGATGTTTCTCAGGTACGCGAAAGATTCTACATCGTCCAGAGTTTCGCCATCAAGTGTGATATATATAATAAAATAATTTATGAGTTAAACACTAACCAGCTGTCTGAGTTCATGATATATTTCTAGAAAAATCTCTTCACAGAACTTTATAACAGAAACTTCATACATCACCACAATACAACAAAACATTATCACTTAAAATGTACCATTTAACAACAAATTTTTTTCGATTGAACAAATGAAATTAATCATTTTGAAAGAAAAAATAACATGAAAGAAGGTAACTGATTTGTAAAAATAACGAAAACCTTCATTTTATAGAGTATTACATATCAACATTTATCAATACATAAATCAACTGATTCACTTAACTTTCAAAATATCAACAATAACAAAATAACATAAACTATTCTCACTGATAGAAAAGTACAATGATATTTTGAAGTCAATATTCAAGAGAAAGGATACAGTTAAGCATGAAATTTGAAAATCAATTAATCTAAGGAAAAACATAACAGTACTATATTGTTGAAAAGCACGTAATAAACAGATTGTTTCGTCAGACTTTTATTACATATGAATAAAATGAAAAACGACCATCCAGCTCAGAGAACAAAACTCCACCAAAATCATCCACCTGCGCTACAAATCTCCACCATCTCGACTATTTATTTCCCACAGTGTCACTAACGAACACAAAGATTTTAGAATATAACAATAATAATATCATTCACCATTAGTTACAGGATTTTATGTAGAATAGAGTTTAAAAAGTTTTCAGTAAAATCGATTCTCTAATCATCATCTAAAAATTCAAAATTTTAGGAGTAAGAAATAGTGTCAGAATGATATAGTGTATGCAGATAATATCAATCTCAGTAAACCTGACATAAGGCAACATAGAACCTGGCACATATGTACATCGGTTCAAGTCGCTATATTATATCACCACAGCAGGACGCCCGAATAGAATAAGTAATAACAGTATTAGCGAGAGTAGAAAAAATGAGGCGGCGAGTCAGGTAAACACTTACAAACCTAGACCCGATCGAAGCTGCTACCTTGACGCGGTGGTCGGGCTTGCCTATCGTGATGACCCAACCGAGCTATATTGGCTGGAACATATGTTCCTGCAGGTTCTACCATGCCAGGCAGGTCGATTGGTGAACGGTAAGACTAAAAGCAGCAACTCAAGGTCTGAGGGCGAAGTCGTACTGCTGACTGTAGAGGGGTGTGACAGCAGTAAGGTGTTTCCCTCGGACATCCAGCATGACAGCGATGCTGCCTTCCCACAAGGAGGGGTGGGGTTAGAAAAGGTCGACCCTAAAAATGTCACACCTCACCTTACCTCACGGATTTCCGTCTCCGGCGGTAAGGCCCTTTGAAGAACGGAGCTAACACGTCAAAAATCTTCCACAAAAAGGCCGTGCGCGACCGGCCTCAAGCAGTTGTCCCTTGGGCTCTGCGGTCACGCTCCCAGGTCGTCAAGACCAACACTAATCCAATTTCCTTTTCAGGTTCCTCAAGAAATACCCTTCCACGGTGTGGGCAGCCGGTAAGTGATATCAGCCCTCATACCCGTAACAGCACAAGAGACCAAGGTGGTCACATTCAAATCTTTCCTACACCTTCTAATACCTCTCTTATCTCCCCGACTAACCCTCCCCACGTCTCTTTATCACCTCGCACCGCTAGGGCAAACGATTCGAGTACGTGGAACGCTATTCCTGGTCTCCTGAAACCACGCTCTAAACTACACGTAGGAGCTTTTAACGTACGAACACTTTGCCGAATAGGACAGCAGGCTTCATTAGCTAGGACTTTAGAATCTCGCGCCATCGATGTGTGCTGCGTCTCCGAAACGCGCATACAGGATCCAAGTAGCGTCATTCATTTGACCTCACCATGCCAAAATAAAGAACCGACTCGATTTACGCTTCGTGTATCTGGGAGCCCTGATTCTGCTTCCCGCGGCCTTGCCGGCGTAGGTATAGCATTGAGTCCTAGGGCAGAACTAGCTCTCTTAGAGTGGATCCCAGTAGACAGTCGTTTGTGCGCTGTCCGACTGAACGGAACAGTAAGAATCCGGAAAGATAGGGACACTCGTCGTTGCCTCTTCGTCGTCTCTGCCTATTCTCCCACTGACTGCAGCTCAGATGATGTAAAAGATGAGTTTTACAGAAAGCTTTCGGACCTTCTCCGAAAAGCTAAGCGCTCGGATGTAGTAATTGTGGCCGGTGACTTTAATGCTCAAGTAGGTAAACTAAGCGATAGGGAGAGACACCTGGGTGGATCTTACGGTGTCGTGGCTCAAAGAACAGATAATGGCGACCGTCTGTTGCAGCTATGCTCAGATAACCGCCTGTTCCTTGCAAATACTAACTTTAAACATAAGGAAAAACATCTTTTAACATGGAGACCCCCTAATTCGTCCCAATGTTGGACCCAAATAGATCACATCGCTATCAGCCACCGATGGAGGGGCTCGATAGAAGACTGTCGCTCATTCTGGAGCACATGCCTAGATTCAGATCATGCTCTAGTGCGAGCGCGTATTTGCTTGCGTCTAACTGGACGTAGGAAAGACACTGCAAGAAAACCTCTTAGGGGCCTACTTAATGATAGTCAAGCTAAGAGTATATTTCAGGAACAACTAGGAAAACAGTTAGGCAGCCATGTATGTGATGCCCACCCCGATGCAGCATGGAATGATATCCGAAAAGCTGTGGAAACAGCAGTGATATCTGCTAGTAAGGTAAACCAGAAGGTTAGGGAGCAACACTGGATCTCAGCAGCATCTATCTCACTGATAGATGCTCGGAAACTCATTCCACCTGGCTCTGAACATAATGAAGAGCGGAGTCAGCTTAAGCGCAAGCTGACCAGAAGCCTACGCAACGATCGCGAACAGTGGTGGGTAGCGAAAGCAAGACAGATGGAAAAGGCAGCGGCAATAGGTAATAGCAGACAATTGTTCAGACTCGTTAAGGAAACCGGAATTAGGAACCCGACCGTTAGCGAAACAATCTCAGAGAAAGATGGACATATTATTCATTCTCAATCCAGGAGATTGGATCGATGGGGAGAACACTTTAGGGATCAGTTCAACTGGCCTTCAGCCACACTTCGGTTTCCCACGATCTCTAGTCAACCTGAATGGCAAGTTAATGTAGGTCCTCCGACTTTTTACGAAGTTGAAAAAGCCATAGGAAATCTGAAACGAGGGAAAGCAGCAGGCCCTGACAGGTTTACTCCTGAGATTTTTAAGGATGGTGGTCCAGTATTAGCAATGAGATTAACCGAGGTCTTAAGTAGAATTTGGGAACTGGACGTAATCCCATCTGACTGGTCTCAATCACTGATTGTGCCAGTCTATAAGAAAGGACAAAAGTCCTCTTGTGACAATCACAGAGGAATCAGTTTGACTAATATAGTGTCTAAAATATTAGCTTCAATAATACTTCGACGCCTAATCAAAGCTCGTGAAGAGCAGACTAGAGAAAATCAGGCTGGTTTTCGACCTGGACGTGGTTGTATAGACCAGATATTCGCACTACGTCAGGTTCTAGAACACAGACACACATTCAGACGCCCCACAATGGTAGTATTTCTCGACCTTAAGGCGGCATTCGACTCTGTTGATCGTGAGGTTCTATGGCAGTGTTTGTCACTGAAAGGAGTACCAAAGAAGTACATTAACCTTATAAAGGCTCTCTACTCGAACACAACTGGTAGAGTGAGAGCTTATGGCGAACTGTCATCAGAATTGATTACCTCAAGTGGTGTTCGTCAGGGCTGTCCACTCTCCCCATTCTTGTTCAACTTTGTCGTGGACATACTTCTAGAGATAACACTTTCCTCATCTAGATTTCCAGGGGTTGAACTTCTACCGGGAGGTTCACTTGTTGACTTAGAATATGCTGATGACATAGTTCTATTTGGTGAAGACGCTGACAAAATGCAGAGTCTTCTGACCACTCTAAGCAACAATGCAAGCATGTTCGGGATGAGATTCTCTCCCTCGAAATGCAAAATGTTGCTTCAGGATTGGGTTACATCGACACCCGAACTAGTGATAGGGAGTGAAGTAGTTGAGTGTGTCGACCGCTTCACTTATCTTGGAAGTCTGATCAGCCCTTGTGGTCTGGTGTGTGACGAAATCTCAGCACGGATACAGAAGGCTCGACTAGCTTTTGCCAACTTGCGTCATTTATGGCGTAGGCGAGATATCCGTCTATCAACCAAAGGACGTGTTTACTGTGCAGCAGTTCGTTCCGTCCTACTTTATGGCAGTGAAACATGGCCGGTAAGAGTAGAGGATATCCGTAGGCTACTAGTATTTGATCATAGGTGTCTTCGAAACATTGCTCGTATATCATGGGACCATCGATTAAGTAACACAGTTGTTAGAAAACGGGTACTAGGTAAGGATGGCAAATCAATTGATGACGTAGTGAAACTTCATCAGTTGAGATGGCTGGGACACGTGTTACGTATGCCCAACGACCGACTGCCTCGACGTGCGATGTTCAGTGGTATAGGAGTAGGTTGGAAGAAAGCTAGGGGCGGCCAAACCAAAACATGGCACAAGTCCATGAAGTCACTGACAAGTGAACTGAGTCATGTTGGTAGGTGTAGACTACCTGGTTGGGGACCGCGAGATGATAGCAACCGATGGTTAGAGACCCTGAATGACATGGCTCAAAATCGTTTGCAATGGCGCAGGTGCATCCACTCTCTGTGTTCTCTCAAATTCTAATCTTCTGAATTCTTCATGTCCCTTTTTTCCTCTTTCCAAATTTATTTCACTGGATTATACTCTATAAATAACATCTCCAAACCCTAATCTTCCCGATTACTGCTTATACTCTTGCTACCTCTACCACTATGGGATTTGAATGGACAACTGCATCTCTGTGCTAATGTGGTGTGGCAACTCGAACTGATGTACGTACGTACGAAGTTCTACGTTGATACTGACTGACTGACTGACTACAAACCTAGATTCAACTAACTGTGTAAAGGGAAATTAAAATGGTGAAAAAGAAAGTGTCTGGGTACAATTACTGTTTTCATAATCAAGACGATACACAATGCTTCTGTTGTGTATGGATGATGGTCTATTAAAGTTCACCTCACCCCAATCAAGTATTGATTTTAATAGAAACTTAGAATGTTTACCCAGTAGTAAAACAAATTTTATTGTATGGACAGTAAAGATAAGATTTGCCATACCCAGATCAGGTAGAGATTAAGAAAAATTTTAATTGTAAAATATATATATATATTTGCTTTCATTTACTTCTTCAGTCAGCTTCACGTGTACAATAGAAAAATAGTTGAAGCTGTATTAAACAACCGCTCTTCTTAAGATATAGTAAATAAAACACGAAAAGCAAATAAGTTGACTGAAATGATATTTAGTGATTCTCAAGTCAAACACTGTTTTATCACGTAAGTTATGTTTTGCTTTCGTATTACAATTAATTAGTAACTATATATATTTAGAGCAACCAAATAAGAATGTACTATTAACTTATTTCCACTTACTTGGATGTAATAAACATAAATATTGATTAATTTCCAATGATCCTATGATAAAATAAAGAATTACTTTGATCCTACAACCCACTCTCTTATGAAAATTTCATGACAAAATGAACATGATCGTTACAATAAAACACATAACCTACCATATGAGCATACAAATATTATTAACCTCTTGTTATTTTTTTGATTATACTCATATAGAATTCAAAAGATTAGTAAATAAAACAATTAAATAAATCATCTGAAACATGCAATTTAGATTGTTATCTTAATGTACTTTTTAAAAATTATATATAATCAGTTAACTGTACAAAATATATATTCGAGATTGTTTTAAAAAAAAACAATATTATTAATAAATCATAAATGATTCTTACAAGGTTAATGCCTACAACATCAATAGCTACACCAGCCTGACGTCGATTGGTTTCGCTCATTGGCTCAGGAAGATCAAGAATACTATGCTGAAAATTTTCTCTACCATCGACCATGCGATCATGAGCTGCTTGTTCTAAGTATTTCATCGTTTGTTCATCTTCATAAGTATCAATGTCTCTTTGAATAGCTTCAACTGCATCAAGTGGTGGTATATGTTCAGAATGGTTGAAATTCTCAAAAGATTGTTCATGAAGCACTGGGACTGGTAATTCTGATGTATAATGCTCTTCGTCAGCTGGATCTACTATTGGACTATTATTTCTATGCTTATTTTTAAGAGCTGGTAAAGGACGTTCATCAGGATCATTTGAAGGATAAGCACGACGAAATGGAAAGTAATCAACATCTTGATTATTATTATTGCCATTGTTGTTATTAACAGTATATGACCCATTACTACGCCTATTTTCGTTTAGATCATCACTTATTAATAAACTTTGAAAATGTATTGGTTGTATTGGATTTACTGGTAAAAGAAAGGAGAAATATAAAACAATTTGTGCATATATTTATTATAGGGGACTTTGAAAATTAATAACTCTATTAACTACCTGTTCCTATATAATAAATATCTACTATAATTTGTTGATTTATAAGCTTTTTTAATGTTTGGTATGTTTTATAGAGAAGCATAATAATAAATTAGGCTTCTATTTAATAATAAAATATTATTTTTTCTTATCCTATTTGACAGACTTTATCGATAAATAGAAACAATGATAAAGGTAACACATAATTATGCATCTTTAACTAAGAAAAAATTTATTAGCACGAAATATGATTGACATTTGAATTAGTAAAAACAATCTACCTGTAAACTTGCACAAACAGCTTACTAATTGGTCAATGAAAAGAATAAGTCTGTTATATGACGTTTGACAGTAACTAGGAGTATGAAAGGCATATGTTTCATTTACTGTATGTGTTAATAGTTTCGCCAGTCATTATCAAGAGCATAGAATTATTCACATTAAGAATTTCATAGTCTAGGAAACAGGTAATGATCGATAAGGAAGAGTGGAAATTAAGACCACAGTAGAACAACAAGCTGAGTAATTTCCGTTACTATACATAGTGCTGGCTTTCCTATACGTATGATGAAAGCTTTAGTAATACAAAGTAGATAAGTGTACTACTTTTCGTGAGATTTTATTCACAGCCGTTCCGTTTCTTTTGCTTTTCCAGGTATTTCAGCATAGATTTAGGGAAGCTAGAATAATTTTTACTAAAGAAAGTTATTCAACCTCTTCTCTTACTAAAGTCTTAAATTCAAATTTTCTCACACCACACTTTCTCTTTTACTTTGTCAAACTCTTACCTCTAATCTACTTATTCTGTTTGCATCCCTTACTGGTAATACCGAGCTTCATTTCCGAAATATATCGAAATTTATTACGGAATTAATTTTCACGATTGTTAATTTTTATCTGATTTCTATGACGTTCCTAATTAATTGTCAAAGTCTCAACAACTACATTTTCAGTTCCTTAGTAGCAACGATAATAATAATAATAATAATAATAATAATAATAATAATAATAATAATCTTCTCATTGACGTTTAGGTTTGCAAGTAATCAGTTTCTTATTGGCATATGTGCATTATAAGCAGAGATGGATGATGTCTAGCAGTGGAATTCGGGATACGCAATTCATCCTATTCGAAATTCCTCAGCTGAACGTACCAGCAAACGGTACTGGGTTTGAATCCCAGAGCGAACATCAACTCCAGGATGCATGTGCATCCGGCTGACAAATCCCAAATAGAACAAAACGCGTGTTCTGAATCCCACTGCTAGTTACCATCCATCTCTGAGTATAATAATGAGAATAATAATAATAGCAATATTAACGTTCTCATTCTGTTTACTTTGATGCTTCGTTAATACGTATGATAAATTAATGTCGTCATATCATAACGTTTCAAAGAGTTTCTTCATTTACGAACAGTAAGATTGACTTCAGATAAATAAAACAAATTCATATGTTATGAAGAACAAATATGCATTTTCAGAAGAGGTTTTGTGGAGATTTTAGAAAGTTCACTGATTGGAATCATGAGTCAATGGAAGCTAGACCACCATGGAAAACCTGGAAGCACTGGACGGTCGTTTCGTCCTAGTATGGGACTCCTCAGAAGTGCACATCCACGATCCCGCACCCCGCGAGATTCGAACCCAGGGCCTATCACTCGAATCTCGCGGGGTGCGGGATCGTGGATGTGCACTTCTGAGGAGTCCCATACTAGGACGAAACGACCGTCCAGTGCTTCCAGGTTTTCCATGGTGGTCTAGCTTCCATTGACTCATAACTTCAATCAGTGAAATATGTACGTTCACCAGTTTTAACACATTGTCAAATTCACTAATACATGCCTTATTCTTGGCCTTTGTAAAATATTATAATTCTGGACTTATAACTGTAGAGCCTGATGATGAAGTTATTGAAAACAATTGTTCACTCAAATATTCTTCGTTTTTAAATATGTATTTCTTGGTAGTATCATATATTGCTTTATTACATTTGAATTTACACTTCCAGTACTGTGTATGAGTATAGAATGATAAAGTCTTATCATTTTCAGCGATCACAATATCAAATATATGATGGGAATAAGTCAGACAGTAAACAAGTTCCGAAAGATAACTTTGATAAACATTGACTAATAAAAGAAAACAGATAAATTCAACTATGATAATCACCAAATAAAAATGCTGAAAATTCACGAGAAATCCGTATATTTGTAAGCAAACTAATCAATTTACTCTCTTCTGTTTTTGGCACTCATATTCCACTAGTTAACTCATGTTCTTTTTAGTTAAGAAGCTTTTCTGAAGATTGCTTTTTTCAGCTGGTTTTATTCATTGCCAATTGATCTCATTCGAGGCATCATTTAAGAGCAATGGGCAACTGTATAGAAGTGTATTTCACCCTATTGGGGACTTGTCAGTTAGACCTACCTGTATGGTAGAGATTTGTAGCTCAGATGGATGATTTTGATGGAGTTTTGTTCTCTGAGCACAAACTTCTATCTGAAGTTTTTGCTGATGATGTCGTTCAGAAGAACGATGAAAGCCCCAGGACCAAACCATCCAGCTCAGAGAACAAAACTCCATCAAAAAGACTTGCCTCTATCCTTGAGCTCATTTTCACATTGACACTTGAATACATTACCTTTCTCTTTAATCATCTAGCCTATTATCTACCAACCTACTGAGTCCAGATAACCGCTGGCTCGCACAACAGACAAGAATGTGATTATTTATTTGTAAGTATTTCAACCTTCCTATTAAACAAGAGACACAAAAAAGGCAAGCCAATCACCGAGATTCAAAGACAGAGGAACAGATGGGTGGAATACTTTGAAGAACCTTCGAATAGACCAACTCCATTGAATCCACCAAACATCGAAGTAGCACCTGCAGATCTTCCTATGGCTGTCACTCCATCAACGATCGCAAAATTCAGGATAGCCATCAAACTGATCAAGAGTGGGAAAGCAGCAGGAACTGACAATATACCAACTGAAGCACTGAAATCAGACAGAAGTAACTGCAATCATGCTCCACGTTCTATTCAGGAAGATTTGTGAGGAGGAACAAGTGCCGCTAACAGACTGCAAAGAAGGATATCTCATCAAGATACCAAAGAAAGGAGACCTAAAACAATGTGAGAACTACACAGGCATCAAATTACTATCGGCACCGGGAAACGTTTTCAACAGAGTGTTGCTGAACCAGATGAAAGATTCAGTAGACGCCAAACTTCCAGATCAGCAGGCTGGATTCCGTAAGGATCGGTCGTGAAAAGACCAAATAGCGACACTATGGATTATCGTTGACTAATCAATTGAATGGGATTCGTCACTGTACACTAACTTCCTTGTCTGTGGGAAGACGTTTGACAATGTGAATAGGAGGACCTTACGGGACCTCCTTCAACACTACAGTGTACCTGAGAAGATCGTCAATATCATCTGGAACTCATACGACTGACTACACTGCAAAGTCGTGCATGGATGACAGCTGCCGGATGTACTCCGAGTGAGGACCGGTGTCAGACAAGGCTGCCTACTGTCACCCTTTATATTTCTTCTCGTGGTTGACTGAATTACGAAGATCTCCACATCTGAGGGGCAGAACGCAATAAAATGAACAGCTTGGATACAACTGGACGAGCTGAACTTTGACACAAAAGTGAGCAAAGGTAACCACATACACATAAACACAAATACTTTTATAAACATCAACACTTACTTTTGTTCCGGTCATTATTCTGAAATAAGAAAACAAGGGCATACAAGAACTTACAACTACTGCGAAGAGACGAGGGAAGAATATATATATATATATAACATGGATAGTCATTATTATTATTTACTACGGTTTACATCTTCTTGTTATTTATTTTGGTAAATGAATTTGGTCATTTTCTGGTTCTATATGATGGGTTGCTTCAGCAGATAACAAAGCAATCCAGAACGCAAATTTTATACCATATGAGACTCGTCAGCTGGATGCATCCTGTTGAAGAGTTTGAAAACGTGATAAAACACACACTGCACACCCCAATGCTAGTCGCTATCGGAAATATGAATAAAACATGGATATTTATTCTTTTGGTGAATTAGTGTGTATAGTTTTGGAGGAGTATCTAACAGATGATCTGATAGTGTTTTTATGTAATTCTAACTGCAGAACTTCTTTTGATTTATTATTGCGAGACAACTATAGGTCTGTTATTGAATTCTATTCATTAGAATATCCTAGTTGAGCCCTCATTAATAGCTATCGCAAGCTTTATTCTGATATTTCGTTAGCATAATTGAGTGGAATCATGGACAGAAATCCTGGTGTACTTGTGACCACTTCATCATCTTAGGTTATGCCATTCTCGTTTAAAATACATGGAAAAGAGGAAAATTTAACTAGAATGTATTGAGTCAGTGAAAAGATAGAAACAGAGTCCGAAGATCTATCGTTAATGATGTAGGAGACATTAATAATAATAGTATTAATAATAATAAGACTTGTACGCCACCGAATTCCGGTTCAGTGATCTAGCGGTTATACGTTCGCATGTGAGACAGATCTTGGGTTCGATTTCCAATCAGGAAGCCGTGGACGCAAACCGCTGAGAAATACCGTACTAGAATGAAACGACTGTCCAGTCCTTTCGGATTTTCAAAGATCGATTAGTGATCTCAATAACCTTCAACAAGCTCCACAACCCCATATCAAGAACAATAATAATAGTAGTAAATGAATAAATTTACACAACTAGAATAATGTAATCTTCAGTTCAGTTTTCTTACCGTATCAGGAAACTGGTTATCCGATCGACCATAAAGTTGTTCACGTTGTTCTGTTGAAGTATTACTAGACAACAATTTCATTAAATCAATATCTCGATATAAGTTATTACGCATTTCAGTTATTTGATTCTTTTTTAACTTAGCTTGTTCATAGTTTTCTTCCTCAACAGCTTGTTGTTTTTCAAGTGCTAATCTACCGAGACGTTCACCGACCTGAAAGATAATGAAACAAAAGTAAATTATGCAACTAATTCGTTTACCAAGCAAAAAATTTATGTCTGAACCTTTCCTTATCTTCTATAAAATTATACGCTCAGTTTAAAATATCAACTATTAAGTAGCTGGCAATTAACAAGCCAGAAGACTTTAATTTAAATACACTAAGTTAAAAATTTGTTCAACAATTGCTATGTTAATGTATAAACTCAAGTTTAAAATCACACATACCTGATGTAGTTGAGTTATAGCATCTCGTATACCTTGAGCTTGGTCAAAACGTTCAGCTAAAAATTAATTGTAAAAAATAGAGGAAACATAAACAATTGCTGGAAACCTAAACCGATTTTTTGAATGTTAACATTGATTGAATGTAGTGGATTACGTCGATTAACAGATTGAATATTTAACGGATGATATATGAAGAATTATCCAAACAAATAGATACAACATAACAATAATCAACTACATGATTTATTTTCCAATTTTTCATATCATCGTGTATGCGTAGCTTTAGTGCTCTTGCCGAATTCAAAAAATATTGATAAATTGTAAGAAGACAAAGTGAAACTGTAAAGATTCAATGGGGTTTTGGATAAAGTTTGTTGTTTTGAAATTATATAGATCAATTTATTATCTCAACCCTAACTCACAATAACTGAAATAAAAGTTGAATAAAATATATAGTTAGTCTTTTTTCCTTCATCTAAACAAACACGTGATACCTATGAAACAAAAAAATTTCAAAGAGCTGATTATTAACCGAGTCTTATTGTAATAAAATTGGTTTTATTTCCTCTACAATTAGATCAATTCCGGAGAATGTAGAACATGTTGAGTAGATTTAATCTTTTAAATGATTTATCAAATTTCTTTCACATTGGCCTCACAGTTCTTAGTAGAGATCACTATGATTCACTGCAGTACAGAACTTGATACCTAAACTCACTTTTCAAGTAAACCTGATAAACATAGTTTGATCTATTACACAGGTAATATGGAATAGTTTATCCAGTCGAATAGCAGCTACTTTGTATAATAAAAGGTAAGTTGGACAATCAAACTATAATTTCATTGAAACCAAGAACCAGTCAATGTTATACCACCGTTGGAAACCTGGAAGCATTGAGAGGCCGTTTCGTTCTAGTTTGGGACTTCTAGGCAGTGCACATCCACGATGTCGCACCTGGAACTCCAAGCCCAGGACTTCCTGTCTCACGTTCAGGTTTTCAATGATGGTGATCGGTTCATTATTTCAGTGAAATTCAAAAATATCTACAACCCTATACTGCAAATTATAATTGTTTAAAAACTCCCAAGATATATTAAAAAAACAGTTATACGGACAAAAAATATTCGTTTCAATAACTCCTCATTAGGTTCTATAAATATACATTCAGATTAATCTCTCATAATTTCAATCGGCTTAACATCACACCTGATTTTTTCAAAGTTAACAGTTTTATTTTATTTCAACCAACAATCATAAATTAAGGTACTTTAATTTTTAACGAATGTATTTTCCTTAAATTTAGTTATTCCTTTGTAATATTAATTTTCATGCGTAACTGTAGAACATGATAAGAAGCCATTGAAAAGAATAAACTTTGTTTATATACCTGAATCATCGTGAAAAAAAATCACTTGAGATAAACTGTTTTCTAGTAAGAATTCTAAAACAGTCAACTATCTTCTTTAAGGTCATTAAATACTTTTCAGAAGCTGAACGAAAACAAATACAAATATATCTGCACTAAAAATAGCTTAGTATTATTTAATTAATGTAAATTAGAAATATTTTAAAAGCCACAGAAATGAACTCAGTCAAACAATGTAACTCGAAATTAATAATAATTATCAAAATATTAATCAACGATCATTGATTTTCTACTATGAAATTTAACAACTTATAACTCAATATTTCTTTACAATTACGATATGTTATCTAACCAGTCTTTACATAACATATTATTCTTAAATAATAGAAATCTGATCAGAATGCGGTTTGAGGAGATTGTAGTAATTTTAATAGTTGAATTCATGAGTCAATGTAAGCTGGACTACCATTGGAAACCTGGAAGCACCAAACGGCCGTTTTGTCCTAGTACGGGACTCCTCAGCGGCGTGCATTCACGACTCGAACCCATGACCTTCGGTCCTGCACGCTAACGCTTAACCTCTAAACAACTGAACTGTTAATGAACTGTTAATGTCAAAATTCTATCTATCCATGAATGGCTACACAACGATTCATCCATTGTTTAAGGTAGATACCTGTCTCTACCCGAAACACATTGGACTCCAATAGTCACGACTTCTCACTAGGACTCAATGGTGGTCTAGCTTACATCGGCACACGAATTCAAGTATAATAAAAATCTGATGAAAAATGAGGCACATACCCTTAACAGCTAGACGTTTTTGTTTTTCTAACCTTCTTATTATGTTAGCAACTTCGGGATCTTGATACATATCAAACGCTAAGTCTTCAGTGGGAGGTATGTAATCTGGCCTAGACAAATAAAAATAGATGAGTAAAATAGGGGAAAATCGAAAATTGAAAAATCACTATAGTACTTATAAGTCAATTTAAAAATGAAGGACAACTTCTGTACAAATATATGGAATTAAGGACTAAACCCAGATAAGTTGTCTGAAAATAAATGATCATCGATTAATAGAGCGTGTTATTTCACAATTAAACATTTGTAAGTGTAAACACGTTATGAAGATAATGATGACTTAAGTGGTTAATACAACTGTAATGCAGTGGGATTTTATGAGTTGATCAATAGTCAGGATTTTGATTATTAAAGCCAATAAACGTAATGATACGAAGTGGTCAAGAGATGGTTACTCATGAAACCGGATTACAGACTAAGAACCCAATCGAATAGATAACAGAAAATAAAACAGTTTTCAAGTAGAATGGGAGTTTGACCTGATAAAACAACAGGGTTATACAGGAATTGTCAATGGAAAAATAAACAGAACTAGATTTTATATATAAATTGAGAAAACTAGTTTTATGTCACTCACTCCCATGAAGACCTGACTGTTAGGCTTCAGTCCTTGCCTATCATATCAATAACAACGAATAAGATCATATTAGAAGCTTTTAAATGTTTGGAGTAAACTGGACGTTGGAAGTTTGAAGGAAATTCGCTTTCATGATTTTGAAATTTACAGACAACATATCTAATGGGGGAAATTTTATTTATATCTTACGGAAAATGCAGGTACACCTATATATTGAAGTGCATCTATTTAGACAATACAGAATAAAACAAATTCAGATTTCTGAGTGACGTCACAAGAAAATATTGAATTACCGAGGATTCGAATCAAATAAAGAATATTTTATCTATAAATTTTGTCATATTTCACAAAGATTTATAAGGTAGATCATGATCTAGTTACTTATTTGGAACAAAATTCACTAATTATTGATGCGATGGACACACTATATGCCTTTTTATAATTGTTATAACTTTGGATCTTTGCATATTTAAATGACAAATGCGTAACTGAACAATTCACTCAAAAGCATGCTATCAATATACTATTTGTCCCTTCTACAAGGTTAATTATTAAACCTATCATTTCAGACATCTTACAAAGTTATTAGGAAGAACTAATGAAGCATTTTAGTAATATTACAGCCAAGTAATATACATGATCTAGACCAGGAATGCGCTAGGAAAGTCTGAAAACATTGTCTCGATTCAGTTTACTACTAAAAACGTAAATTTCTAGCACACGAAACTTCACATTTTATTAGCATTTCATGCTTTATGTTGTGTTGATTTCCACTCACTCTTCCGACGTGCGATGTGGCAACTTGAACTAAGGAAGGCCTGTGTCAGGCCTCACGTTGATAGTGACTGACTGACACCATTTTAAAGTGAACAAATGAGTGTGTATATTCAGTGAAATGCCTATACAACTCAATAACATAAAAATTTATTCAATAACGTCTGTGTTAATCGCATACTCCGACGACCGATTTAAATTAATTTTCCTCGAGGAACACGTACTTCTATACATTTTGATTTATCAACATTTAGCAAAAATCACAATGAAGAAGTTATACAAACAAGCATTGGAATACATTTAATATTTCCTAAAGAGGTGCTGAAAATGCAAATTCTCATAAGCTATTATATATTGATGAAAACATTTTTTGATTTCGCTATCATTAATGGTAGCGATTTGTATGCACAGTCATTTAAGGACAAAATCATCGTGTGAACAGATTACTTTACTACAGGAGCTATAATATTCATAAGGAATACATAGGCGATATTACGTGGAGTGGTTTCAAAATGGACGTTCTGTTCAAGTACCATACAATATGCACATTACTTAACAGAATTGAATACAAGGTTGCAGTATCGAACCAAACGAAGCAACAGTCATAAGAAACTTACTCCGACATGTCAACTACTAAATTTAAAAATGTAAACAGAGCGATGAAGCTGGTTTATGATCTTTTAAAATATAACAATTAGGAAAGATTTATCCATCTTTTAATCGACTTGAAATACAGAAAAAAGCTATGCGACAGCCACTGGTGTGATCCTAAACCACAGATCATTTCAATTAACTTATTTGCGTGAACTGTCTAATGTCTCATATGGTTTTGAGTCATCAATAGACAAATAAATAACAGGCCCACGACACCATACAATAAACTGACGGCCACCAACTATATCCTGACGAACCTAACCTCAACAAAAAATTATGAATAAAGACGCTATTAACGTGGTGTACTAAAATCGAATTCCGGTCAACCAAACTCATGTCTTTAAATTATTCAAAAATGACAATATCATCCACCAAACGCCGTTGGTTTAAACAGTGCATATGGTTTGTAACATGACATAAAATTTTAAGTATTTCAAACATGTGAGACGAACTTTTTCGTCGCAATTGACTCAGGCTAATCGGTTCATCAGGGTTAAGAGACGATTCATCCATCGCTACTAAAGTAAATAGTTCAGTAGTAACTGTATATCAACATTAAATCATACTAAAATACACGACATATCTCGCTTATATGTGTTGTTTTAATATTTCTATGCTTTTAGTTATCTAGTCTTTTCAGTTCGTTTACTTTTAACAAATAACATACACTAAGACGAAAAAGGCGTAACGTGCTAAACAAGTTGGAGTTTTATATATTTGCATAAACGCAGCATAAGACGATGAAAACAAAGGATAATAACTACAATCACATAAAACAACAACGTATGAATCAGTAGAATCTGTCAAGGTACTTTCTCTAAATCAATAATATAGCTTTGAAAAAATCCACCCAATAATTCACCGGTTAATTTAAGTAAATTTGAATGTCTTTGTACCAAAGAGAATGGAAAAGATATTTTTGGGAGTATTAATTAGGAATCAAATGTTTTATGTATAGTATTACATTAAGTTTGTTACAACAAAAACCGATGTAACAACATATAGGTGGAAAGTTTACGCATAACTAAGCAGAAAGTATGACATTACTTTAAGAGCAACATATTTATTGTATGCTAATATGCTGACCTTTACCGCTTACTTAGAACAGAATAACATACCTGAAAAGACCTACTGGGGAATCATCAGAATCCGACCGCCCATTCTTATCGATAAAATCGCCGATCAGATTTATAGCGACAATCCCAACCTACAGAAATAACGAATCCAGACATTTTGACGTACCTGACTGTATAAGTTTAAGTTATTCGGATGGTTTTTATAGAGAAACAGTTGAATATATGAGCCGGAGGCGTCAATATGAACTGACTTTAATTCCCTTGCTTTGTACTCTGTGGCCTGATTGTCTGATAGCGCTACATATCTAAAATATAGGATACATACGAACTATGTGTAGATTGATTTACCCAAGTCTAGTATACCTGGCGTTTTTAAAATGTTCCATTTCATCGTCCGGCGTATCTCCGACGAAAAACTCAATCTTTGACGCTAAAATAACAGTATTAAGTTAGTTTTACGGACAAACCAATTAAATATTGATGGCAAAGTAACTGTATTTTGCGAAAACTAGCTTTTGCTTCCAGAGATAAAATAAGCTGTTGAGGATAAGAACAAAAGCGAGTAGAAATCCATCCTTTAGTTCCTGGATGGTGATGATTTAGTTCTGTGGCAGGGAAGTGTTCGTCTTGGCTTGAAACATAGACGACACGAAAAGGTAGCTTGTGTGGCATAATCTGACCACCTTTAACGCCAATGGACAAACAACGCGCTAGTAAAGGAGACTTCTATTGGTGTAACAGTTTACATAACCTGAGTAACTAAAACCCATGACTTGAAAAAACAAAATATCTTAAAACAGATTTGTAAAATTATTTAGTGTCTAAAATTAACAAAAAACCAATATTCTGCTGTTTCTATGAAATTTTGTCAAGATTTCTCTTCTATAACCAAACAGTAACACTTTAACTTAGTGTATTTAAGAGTTTTAAGTCAGAAGCAAACTACTTACTCTTTTTTATCACAGATGTGTGGTGCTTGTATGAACTGATTATTTTTTTGTACTTGAATACTCGCTGATTACGAATTTCAAATACAATACGTTGATTTCTGCTCACTGAGTTCTATTTGCCTTAAGTTGCACTATTTTGGGAATCCGTAGTTGGTACAGTAATTCGAATACTTATTGTTCTACACGTGATAGAACAGTTGGATATATATTCAAATTCCGAATCTTTGACAGATCAAGTGGAAAGGTTTGAAATCTGGAGTATGACCAGGAAGGATCATCAAAATGATAAAATTGTGGCTTTGATTGTCTTTTCCAGTGGACGATTATGTGAAATATATGTATTCAAACTCCAGTCTCGTATTTGACTTATTTGATTCCGTCACTTACTAACGCGATTCAAGTCGATGAAATATACGAGGAAAGCATAAAAACCAACTGGAGTCAGATACAGTGACATTAAAGCGTCCCACTAATCCCTCACCCTTTATATGCGGCGTCATAAGTGTCGTAAAGATTTCTGTGGCCCAAAGAAATAATAATAGCGACCGTCTGGTGCAGCTATGCCCGGATAACCGCCTGTTTCTTGCAAATATTAAATTTAAGCATAGGGAAAAACATCTTTCAACATGATGACCCCCTATATTCGTCCCAACGTTGGACCCAAATTGGTCACATCGCTATCAGCCACTGATGGAGGGGCTCGATAGAAGACTGTCGCTCGTTCTGGAGCACATGCTTAGATTCAATTCATGCTCTAGTACGAACGCGTATTTGGTTGAGTCTTACTGAACTTAAAGAAGACGCTATAAGGGAACTCCTAAGGGTCCTGTTTAATGATAGTCAAACTAAGAGCATATTTCAGGAGCAACTAGGATAACAGTTAGGCAGCCATGTAGGTGATGCTCACCCCGAGGCAGCATGGAATGATATCCGAAAAGCTGTGGAAGCAGCAGTGATGTCTGCTAGTAAGGTAAACCACAAGGTTAGGGAGCAACACTGAATCTCAGCAGAATCTATCGCACTGATAGATGCTCGACAACTCAGTCCACCTGGCTCTGAACATGACGGAGATCAGAGTCAGCTGAAGCGCAGGCTGATAAGAAGCCGGCGCAATGATTGTGAACAGTGGTGGGTAGTGGAAGCAAGAGAGATGGAAAAGGCAGTGGCAATAGGTAATAGCAGACAACTGTTCAGACTTGTTAAGCAACCTAGTATTGGGAATCCGACTGTTAGTGTAACTAACTCAGAAAAAGATGGACGTATTATACATTCTCAATCCAGGAGATTAGATCGATGACCAGAACACTTTATCGATCGGTTCAACTGGCCTTCATCCACACTTCGTTTTCCGACGATCTCCGGTCGATTTGAATGGCAATTTGATGAACTAAACCTAGTCACAAGCCCTTCTCCATTATTCACTGACGGTCCATTTTAAAACGACCACGACTATTGCTAAGCTTTCAATAACTTGATATAGCTTTCCAGCATTTGTGCACGTGTCCGATGTAAAGCATTCTGGTATGGTGAATGGGAACTATAGTCACGGCTAAATTCACACCATAATCTAGCTTTTTTAACGAAATTTACATAGTTATATGACAACTTTATCGACTACATTAATGTAGACATGTCTGTTATTCTACGTCACACTCGGTTGACGTGAAAACGATGGGTATAGCTCCACATATCAACCCTAAGTACGTCATTTTAAACGTGAGCTTAAAGTGTGGAAATCGAAAAACCGAAAATGTAGGACATTAAATCTTCGAACTGCGTACAGTTTCAAGATTTTATGCTTTTCAGAATAAAATGGAGTTTATAGATCTACAGCATGTCGTCAGCCAGATACGGAACTTAATAATGACAAGGTGGAAACGTCAGGATCAGTTAATGAACAGTCCTTTTTCGTCTTGTAAGAATTCAAGGAAGCCAAAGTAAGTGAAAGGCTTAAAACTAACGTTATTACTGTTAAGGCGTCAGCACTAAATTCCACCGGCCTTGGTAAAAGAAACCATTAACCACTTTGACCTTCTTATTCATTTAACTGTGATTAACATGCAGTGAGTTGAGCCCAAACATCTCTTTCTTGCTTCTGAGCCTCCTTCACTTTTAGTCATGTTCTGTAATTATTTTATACCAAATAATCTAGCATAGTCGCTAACAATTATAAAAACAAATTGCCACTAAAGTTTTAACTTATTTCTCCAGCAAATCGCGGCCACATTCGTAAGTAAAAATGAAACTAATTATCTGGGCTTAGATCAATAAACTGTATCAAAGCAAAGAACAACAACTTAACGGATGATGTTTACAAAATATTGGGCATCGGACAAGTGTCTCAACAGTGCATACTTCAAAGCATCAAGGTTATGCATTGGTAATGCGTGTCGATTTTGAATTTGTTAATGCTTGCTAATCTCAGTGTCATTTCCATGTCAAAGTTGTTATAGCGCAGTTCACACAGCCCAAATTTTATGAAACGCTCGAAAACTAGCTTTTTTAAAAGGTATAGTTTTGAAGGTAGTTGGGGATCTATTTTGATTCACTGACGTCACTTAAATTCTCTGTGGTCAGAATATGTCTGTTTCGCACCCAAAATGAAATTGAAGCGCACGGAGTTAATCTTTAGTTTTGCGGAAGCCTTCAAATATGAAAATACCAGAGTTACTTGGGAAATCATCTATAAAGCGGTGGCATGGTAACTCGAACTTTTTCGCTACATAATTGCTGGTACTAGTGCTTTATCCTTCCCCGTTGTGCCACTACGCTTGTAGAGTTCCTAATCATGTCCGTGCTACGAAATGGTCTTCTGCACTACCAATAATCCAATACAGCGAGATTTTTTTTCGTAATGAAAATTAATCATTTGTTATCTAGCATTGTCTACACTCACCCTAGTCACTTTAATAATACCAAACACATGGGCCTTATTGGAATGTAAGACATGCATTCTGTGATGATTTTCTCAATTAAAACCGTTGTAGTAGTACTGTATCCAATCGAATTTGTTTCATTGACACTACAAAAGCCTCCATCTTATGGGTAATTGAAATCTTTAATGCAACAAGTATGCTTGCCACTAATTTGTCCATACAGTTTAAGTTAATTGAAATCGTTCCAAATATCTGACCCCTGCAGATAATGATATTGATAAATTAATCCATAACTACTGTTGTACTGTGATGCGTGATGGAGTTGACCGTAAGTCATTGAAATGGAGCTTTCACGAAGCATTTGTGTAACTAAATCTACATTTTTTACCGTAACTCTGCTCCTTCAATCACTCAGAAATCGATACTTGAATGTAAAGCAACCATACCTCTTGGGTATGCCTTTCATAAAGAACGTTTTTTATCGTTTTATGAGGGTGAAAATGTGTTCATAAACATTACTGTGGCAAAGCTTTTGAAATGGTACTTAGTTTAATGTCGAAATTTTTCATTATTATTAAATCATTTTTAAACCTCCAGTTATTTTCACTCCTGGCAGAAACATCGCAAAATTTAGCCGATTATTGAACAATGTAAACTGACAAAAATGGCCTAGACGAAGATCTTAGCGAAATTCGGAGAAAACCCGGTTAAACTTACTACAACAAGTACAGAAGCAGCACCAGTGGGATCTCTTAAAAACGACTACGATGTAAAGGAGAAGACTTCTTTTCTAGTCCTATCGTCGGGGCCTAATTTTTATTATTATCACTGACCCTGTTGCTACGCCTACCGTTCTGGGATTTGGCCCAAAATCTCCATTTTTATGTGCTTACGGGGTATGGCAACTTGAACCGATGTACATACGTACGGGTTCTACGTAATGGCTGACCAACTGAAGTAAAGTATTAAAACTTGACGAATAAAATTGAGATTTATCCATCCACAAACGATTACATGAACTTTCCAACCCCGATGTTAGATTTGGGACTAATTCATCAAATGTCTGAATGTCTGCGCTCCATATTTATTTAGAATGCGCTCTTAAGTTGATCTTACGTCAAGTCAGGGTATCGTATTTATACATTTAAAATGTTACATTGGATACTCTGTATTCAAGTTATTTCATATTATGGGGCTAAATGTACTGTTTTACACACTACTAGTTCATAAAATCAAACCACCAGAAACTTCATAGCGTCTGTCTTCTCATTTCTTAACTAACACTTATTTGCCTTCCAGATAATAAGCATTTGAAAACCGATGGATGAAAACTTGGAAAACTTCTCTAATGCTGACTTCGATGCTAGATTGTTCGTCTCTTATATTGTTGGTACTAATAAAGTTTCAAATGTTTTATGCACAATAGATAATCGAATAAGAGAGTAAGTAGACACATAATAAATTATTTAGTTGTATGTAACTCAGAATGTATTATGTCTATTCTTAATAAAACTTTCGGAAATGAAAAAAAAACTACTTGGTTAATTATAGCAAAGGCAAATTTAATATTTTGTTCAGAAATATTCAGGTCATGTTCATTGGTCTAGGAGACTATATCAACATATCCTTGAAAGATGCCGATAAATTCTTGCATCAACTAATTGTGTAGTTAGTGTAACCATATCATCATATTTTCTGAGCTATAGAAAATACCATCCAACGTTTTAATGACTAAGGCAACCAATCAAATATGATTTTTGGTCTCTTCGAAAACATGTTTTAACGTAAATATTTGCATTTTCTGTGAAATAGTTGATCACAAAATCTAACAGTATAATTAAAATCTTTGAATTAGCTTTATCATCTGAACTAAAAGCGTTGTTCGGTCTTAAT